CCTTGTTGCCTTCCTCTGAACTTTTTCCAGTTTGTTGGCATCCTCCTTAAAGTGTGATGTCCAGAACAGATTTGTTATAAGATTGTGTCAGTAAAACCCTACTGTTAAGATAATTAACAGCTGTTATTATAGTGACGATCTGTAGTCTTGATTCACAAAAGGGGTGTTTTGAAGACATCAGTTTTATGTAATGTTTGTAGAACTGGGTTTAATTTAAAATAGGCAGCTTAAAACAAAAAAATGCATCTGAGGAGACCGAACGGTTTTAATCTGCTTCATTTTACACTTCTTAATTCCCATAAAGTGAACTTGCAAACATACAATTTCAATTGTTTTATCCAGCTCCTTAAGTGACTACCCTAAACTCTTATTATTTGACTAGCAGTTGCTTTTCAAACCATTTCTAGTACTGTAAGAATGTGTGATTTGAGATTTGCTTCATGTGTTTGCAGAATAAAAAGTCACTGCAATCTACAGCAAGTTGTGCTTTTCAAAAATAGTGTCTTCAAACTGCACAAACTGAAAAACGTGACAATTTTGCATACACTTGTGTTTATTGCTCACTGGCTTGACGTGCTGCTTATTGACAGGTGGTATAGTGAAAAGAATTTACGGCTTATTAGATATAGCTGCTGAGCATGGAGACTCCTGTAGCAGATGCATACAAAACAAGATCCAAATGGATTTACTTCCATTAATCTGTTTCATGCTAGAATTCCAGCATGGAGGAGGGAATCCCTTTACCACCAAAGATGCTCTTTATGAAGTATCATATTTAACTTATAAAGTCCTAAACTGCTTGGATGCAAACTTTCAAAGATTGTATCTCCCCCTATATGCCTGCCCAGGTCTCGGTATAATTCTCTCAGTTCCACTATCCTCACAGGGTCGCTTGGTAGAGACATGGGAGAGGGCCTTCTCTGTGGTGGCTCCCAGACTCTGGAACTCCCTGGCTTTCTCTATAATCCAGTGCATGTTAGCAAAAAGGAGAGCTCTCAGACCAGGCTATAGTCCAGAGGACTGTGGTTCAGAAAGAGTCTTGGATAATGTTTTTTATATATATATACATATATATGCTTTTAATATATATAAATAATCTATATAAAAATTTGGATCTGACCTGGCCAAATTAGATCTTTCTGGCCCTCCAGACGATCAAAGCATTCAAACCCCTTTTCTCTTCCAGCCCTTTCTTGTGTTATCTGATTTCCTCCAGAAATTCCACCTCTTTCAAAAGCATTATCCAAGACTATATGGGGTTTTTTTTGGGGGGGGGAGGGGTGGTGGTCCTCTGGACTGTAGCCTTGTCTGAGAGCTCTTCTGGTTGAATTAGCCATGGTGCTGCAATAAATTTGGAAAGATACCTCGAGGGGGAGAGGTGACCCGTTTTTTGCAGTGTTTGTGCTTAAATGCCATAGTTGCTGAACAAAACCAGCTAAAAAAGACCTCATTTGGAAAAGTGAACCCAAGGCCACCCAGCCGGGCCTGCTCTGTGCAGCTCCATGAATGAAGCCTGGGCCTCAATTTCAGGGGTATCTCATTAAGTTGAGTGCCATTGGGCATCCAGCTTGACCAGTCCTTGGAGCTTCACCTGGGCTTCCAGTTTTTCCAGACCACTCTAAACCCTTATCCTCAGCTCTCTCCTTATTTTGGGGGGAGATTTCCTTCCATGGAAGACATGAGGGGAAAATCTCCACCCCCATTTTGCAACTGAATCTTAAAAAGTTTTGGGAAAGCTTTTTCTCTCCCTTTTTTGGTCTTATGCCCCTTAGGCCCTTTTGGGTCTTAAGCAAAATACGATTAGGCTCTACATGGCTCTTAACACTTGTGCGACAGCCTGAAGTGCCACAGGTAAAGTATTCCCCGTCACTGATATTTTCTGTGCCCAGAAAACCAACATCTGTTACATTTTTGCATTTCTGGGAGTCGAAGGAATGAAGGGGAGATTTTAACACTCGTCTCCTGCAAGAGGGAAAAATCTCGTATGTTTTGAATCGTTTCATTGGTCGTGATGGAATACATCATTTATAATCATGCATTTTAAAATAGTTTTAAAGGTGCAGTTTGGTTTGTCGACAAAGCGGTAGCAATGCTACATCAATCCAGCACAGCCAGAGAGTGAAGGTACGACTGACCGTGCATTGAATGATAAAACCTGTGCTTTATTATTATTTTAAAGAATTTCCAATTGTGGTAAGAAAAAGAAGGAAAGAGCGCACAGAAATGTTAGTCTGCTGTCTAAAGATCCATCAACATATGCCCCATGTAGGTTCTGAAGCCAAACACCAATCAGTCCCTTCTTGCTTGGTTGCTGTCTGCCTGTTTTAAATATACGGTATGGAGACCCTTGGATTATATTTTCGGTGGTTGATAAAAAAAATTTGAATTTTCAAAAACAAAATTTGTGGGACTTCCCGATTGAATTTAGTGACCTATCTTTATCCTTTTGGAATCGCAGAGAGGAAATTAGCCTTGAGTCCTCTGGGGAGAAAGGAAGCACAGAAGATGGATGGAATGAAAGAATATTCTGAATGAATGAATGGCCTCAAATTCAATTTTCAACAGCACAGCTATATCCAAAAGAAAACTGAAAAACCTTGTCATAATTATTTATTTCATCCCATAGGTGCAGTGTTTTAGATCTTTCGGACAAGAAGTGCTTGTAACACGTTCACATTGGTTTCACCAACATGTCTGTCTGTGAGGATATGCTCCTTTGCAATTACCGCAAGTGTCGGGCCAAGCTTTCGGGCTATGCATGGGTCACAGCCTGCTCCCACGTCTTCTGTGATCAACATGGCAGTGGAGAGTTCAGCCGTTCACCCGCTGTCTGCCCAGCTTGCAGCAGTGCTCTGTCTGGCAAGATGGACATTGTTCGGACAGAACTCAATCCTTCGGAGGAATATAAGGCTATGGTCTTAGCTGGGCTGCGGCCAGAGATCATTTTGGACATCAGCTCCAGGGCTCTGGCTTTCTGGACATACCAGGTAAATGTAGAAAAGGCAGGTCACCAAAAATGACATTTTAATAGCGTTCAAACTTCTAAATAAATTATTTGAGAGCTCTTAAAACACCATGCTTCTTTAAAATTGCCTTTGACAATTCAACTTGAAAGGGCCAAATGAACTGTCTCTTAGAGTTATGAATGCCATTTTCTCCAGCTATTTCCGACAGAAAGAAACGCAAGAGGACACACTTCACATTTTATTCATGAAATTCTCTGTGAGCCTTTTTGGGCCACTATGCTTAGACTTCTGAAATTCTGATATTACATATAAACTAACTGTGTTGTAGGAATAAATTACCCCAAGAAAGAAAGACGGAGTGGAAGAGATGGTGACGCACCTGATGGTCATACATAATTTGACCATACTTTCTCAGTGATTGTTGTGCCTCTTATTTATTATGTCTGTCCTTGCAGGTTCATCAGGAGCGCTTGTACCAAGAGTACACCTATAGCAGAGCGGAGGGCCACCTCAAACAAATGGAGAAAGTCTACACCCAGCAACTCCAGAGCAAAGATATGGAGCTGACATCCATGAAGAGTGAAGTCTCCTCCTTGAAGAAAGTACTGGAAGAGTACAAAAAGAAATTCACCGATCTCTCTGAAAAACTCATGGAGCGCAATCGCCAGTACCAGAAACTGCAAGGCTTGTATGATAGTCTACGGTTACGTAACATTGCTGTAGCCAGCCAAGAGGCAGCCCAAGAGCCCCCCATGATGCCTCAGCCTGCTGTCTTTGGTTTCACTTTGGGTAAGAGCACAAGCTATTCAATTTGGTAATTCGCTTACCAAATGGTGGTATGGTAAGTAATTGTTGTTGTTGTTGTTTAGCTATTAAGTCATATCCAACTCTTTGTGACCCCATGGACCAGAGAACGCCAGGCCCTCCTGTCTTCCACTTCCTCATGGCGTTTGGTGAAATTCATGCTGGTAGTTTTGATGACACTGTCCAGCCATCTCATCCTCTGTCATCCCCTTCTCCTCTTGCCTTCATACTTTCCCAACATCAGGGTCTTTTCCAGCGAGTCTTCTCTTCTCATGAGATGGCCAAAGTATTGGAGCCTCAGCTTCTAGATCTGTCCTTACAGGGAGCACTCAGGGTTGATTCCCTTCAGAACGGATAGGTTTGATCTCCTTGCAGTCCAGGAGATTGTCAAGAGTCTCCTCCAGCACCACAATTCAAAAGCATCCATTCTTCGGTGGTCAGCCTTCTTCTTTCCTGAGTAGGTAATACTCAGATACAATCAAGGGTGGAGCTATGCACTAGGAAAAATGTGAAGTGGTCCGCTGTGAGGTTGCACCCAGGAAGCTGGGTTACCCCACCTGATTTTGCTTTAGTGGATCACGCTGGAGTCAAGTGAGAGAGCAGAGGAAATTGCCAATCTGTATTTGTTGCCACTTTGTTAAGGTGGCCTTATTACAACTGTCTACATTTGAAAGCATGGCTACCGTACAGCCACCTTAACAAGGCCAGGCTGCCAATTTCTTCCCCTCTGCCGGTTTCCTCCTGGCTTGTTCCACCCACCCTGCCCTAGGGTATTCAGCTGCCCTAGCACATCAGGGTGATACAAGCTACTTTTTAAAATGACCAGTTTGGAGAAAAAAGGGGTGCTTGGTTGACGAGAACTTGGCACGCATGAGTGCCCCTTTGCTTCTTCTCTCCCCACTTTGAACATATAAGCTCCTTGCATTGTCGCAAATATGTTCAATTCTTTAAAAAAAGAAGTCCCAATGATCGAGGGGAAAATTAAGGATTGTGGGAGGAAGCCTCCAGGTTGACTTGCATGGACTTTTTTGTCTTGTAATCAGTGGAAAATCATGCAAATTGGACCATCCCATTTAAGCCAATTAACTAACACCATGTCTTTTATTTGCATGTTTCAGGAAATGCCGCCAGGCTTGATGGGAACACAACACCTATTCAGGGCCGACGTGGTGAGGGGGACTTCCATTTCAAACCTTTCTTTGCTTCCTCTCCACCAATGGCTGAGTCTGGCAACAGCTTCTTTTCCTTTGCTTCTCCGGGCAATGAGATGGAACAACACGCAGGAGGCAACAGAGCTTATAAAATTAAACGAATGTGAGTTGTGATTTGCATTGTGAGCTTTTCTGAAATTCTAGCTGAGGCAGGAAGCCGTGCAGCAATGGGGCAGTGGTGCTTTTAACATATCTGGGTTACAGAAACAACAATCCTCAGTCCAGTTGTCAATAAAACCCAACAGGTGTCAAATAGTTGACTCTCAAATTTTTTCCCTGAAGATCTCAGCTTCAGCGAACCATTATCCAAGGGAGGTCTACCAGAAGGACTGAGAGTAAATGTTCCAGATGTGATCAGTTTTGTTCTATGTCTCTTTTCTCCTCTAAAAATATTCTGGTGTTTCATATGGTTACCTTCACGTCCAAATGCACTACTGTATTTGGGATAGGAGGCATACTTTCTTAAGCAAAACACTTCCATGATTACTGTATCTTGTTATCGTTGTAGTCTTTGAAAGAGGCTGTAAGGCTTTGTCTGCTTTTGTTTCCCTCTTTCCTATTAATGTTAGGATTAATTGTGGGTTGTGTTGGTCAATTATGTGTATAAACATGTTTGCAGGATTCTGTTGGTTTTGTTCCGTGTTGGTTCTAAGTCAAGGTTCAAGGAAAAATAAAGTTCCTTATCTATCCGGTGTATTTTTTTCCTGATATAGCATATGTACATTTTCACCACACCACTGTGGTTTAGTTTTAGTTTTGCTAGTGATTAAGGTTCTGACAGCTTTTCTAGTGATGTCATTTACTGCTTATTTTTCATACCTGAAGAAATTAGGGAGAAGATTTCCAAAATATTGAACATTTTTGGCGCCATGGCACACTTTTGCATACTCCTTTTGTTAGCCTATCAACTGGACCTCTATGCAGTACGAAATCCGGGGTTTGTTTTGTTCCAAACCATTCCTTGAACATCTCATGCTTTAAAAACCATATTGTGTGCTATGTGTCATCATGAAGTTGTTTTTGACGTAGGGTGAGCCCTAGAGGGTTTTCAAGAGATATGAGATATTTAAGAAGTGGTTTTTCCCAGTGACAACCCCCTCAATGAGTTTCCATGGGTGAGCAAAGATTTGATCACAAGTCTCTTGAGCCTTAGTCCAAAATCTGTCCTGCCCCACGGCTTTCAATGGCTCAAGGAAACTCCTCCTTGAACACCACACATCTGTTGCAAACCCTATGGCTTGTTTCTTTATTAATTAATCGATTTAAACTTTTATACCCTGCCCAATGGGATCTCAGGATGGGTTAAACAAATTTAAAACATAAAATATTTAAAACAATTTATAATCCAACAATGCAAAAGCAAAACACTCGAACATTTAAAACGTTGCACGGAAATCTGCACAGGCCACGATCCTCAGCCCCCCATGTCTTGACTTGGCGTTGAAACGATGCTGATGGCCGTGCCAGTCCAGACTCCAAGGCGAGGGCATTCCATAAATTGGGATACTGTGGCAGAAAAAAAACACACACACACCTTCCCCGGTGTTTCCACATAATGGCCTGTTCAGAGGAGGGTCTCCCCAACAGATCTTAGCGATGGAGCAGGATGATGAGTTTGGAGAATTGATGGGTTTGGCAGGCAAAAAAAAGGGTCACCCTTACAGAAAGAGAAGCAACCAAGAAGCAGGGTTGCAATGTGGCCTCCACGCCTGCAGGGGTCCCTGCAGCGGCGTCTATGGTTGTAAATAAAAGAACGGCAGGAAACGGAAGAAGCAGAAGGAGTTAGTTATGGCTGAAGAGGAGGAGGAAAACTCGCAGGCTCTGCAGCGTTTGCAGGTAGGGTGAGCGAAAGGTCTCGCGGATTGCAAGTTTTCATTCCTTCTCCATCATCATCCAGGTCCAGGTATTGCCGCCCCCCCAAATACAGATTGCCTTATTTTTGGAGGGCTGGGGGTTTGTTAATTTTGCACAGAAGCACTCAAAGGTGTTCGCTTGCTACCCAGGGGCAGAGGGTGGTGGTGATCTTAACACGTGTCAGCATTCACACGTTCTCACCGCGAAGGATTAGAGGAAGAAGGGAATCCTTACCTACCCTCCCTCTGTTTTTGCTGGCGGGTGTTGGACGCTGGTTTTATATATAAGAGAGGGTGTGGGGGGGAAAGAGAGGGGTGTGTGTGTGTGTATAAAATATTGTATATGCATATACATATGTATACATATACATATTGTATATACATATACATATGTATACATACACATATATGTATATGTGTGTATATATAAAAATATATTAAAAAATTATACACACATACAAAAAAAACACACACACACCTTCCCCGGTGTTTCCACATAATGGCCTGTTCAGAGGAGGGTCTCCCCAACAGATCTTAGCGATGGAGGAGAATGATGAGTTTGGAGAATTGATGGGTTTGGCAGGCAAAAAAAAGGGTCACCCTTACAGAAAGAGAAGCAACCAAGAAGCAGGGTTGCAATGTGGCCTCCACGCCTGCAGGGGTCCCTGCAGCGGCGTCTATGGTTGTAAATAAAAGAACAGCCGGAAACGGAAGGAGCAGAAGGAGTTAGTTATGGCTGAAGAAGAGGAGGAAAACTCGCAGGCTCTGCAGCGTTTGCAGGTAGGGTGAGCGAAAGGTCTCGCGGATTGCAAGTTTTCATTCCTTCTCCATCATCATCCAGGTCCAGGTATTGCCGCCCCCCCAAATACAGATTGCCTTATTTTTGGAGGGCTGGGGGTTTGTTAATTTTGCACAGAAGCACTCAAAGGTGTTCGCTTGCTACCCAGGGGCAGAGGGTGGTGGTGATCTTAACACGTGTCAGCATTCACACGTTCTCACCGCGAAGGATTAGAGGAAGAAGGGAATCCTTACCTACCCTCCCTCTGTTTTTGCTGGCGGGTGTTGGACGCTGGTTTTATATATAAGAGAGGGTGTGGGGGGGAAAGAGAGGGGTGTGTGTGTGTGTATAAAATATTGTATATGCATATACATATGTATACATATACTGTACATATATGTATATGTGTATATATATAAAATATATATTAAAAAATTGTACACACATACACACACCTCTCTTTCCAAGGATGCTTTGAGGGGTTTTCCAGTGACAGGTTTCTGGCATGCCTGGGTCAAAATGGTCCCAGAGATGCAAAAATAAGGGAGTTTTAAAAAGATACTGGGTTGAAAACGGTTGCAGCCTCTTCCAGGACTCCCTCTTTTGCCCCTTTTTAAAAATTGCAGACAGTGCTTGTGAGTTCTGAAGCCGCTGAGAGGTGTAATCGGAAATGTGGAGTTCACAGCAGCTTCTGGATTCACTTCTGAAGGATATCTGCAGTGCCCTCTAAGATGATCACAGCAAAGCACGTTGTTTGGGTTTAGGGCAGTTTGGAAACCACAGGATCAAAACTTGCAATGTTAGTCTGGAATCAGAAATTTGCCTTGTAGGTTACAGGGAAAGGTAAGCACTCCGAAACATGCACAGATGCAGTTGTTTTCTTAGACAGCGAAAAGAACATGCAACATACTTTGGGGGCACATTGAATGAATTCAGTATGAATTTCATGGCTCCAGTCCACTTTTTCAGACAGATGTAGGACTCCTTTTTAATTGGCTAGAATCCTATGACCAGTTTACACTTGCATGAGGGAATTCTTCTAAGTCTTGGTGGCAAGTTTCCACTTGTTAACAAGGTAGATGGTGACATGTCTTGAGTGCCTTCTTATGCTTTAGGGTGCATGCTCATGAACACAATCAGGACCTAGGCATCAAGGGGTAATGTAATGCCAAAATGTATGAGAGCTTCGTTACACAAGTGTAATGATCCTATCCGGTGGGGTGTAGTAGAATGATGGACTAGCAGACCTGAGTTTGAATCCCCACCTGGCCATGGAAACTCACCAGGGGAGAGGAATTGGTAAACACACTTCTTGAAACCCCTATTAGGGTCGCTATAAGTCAGCTAGCACTCGATGCCACATAA